TGAAAGCTGTCTGTATGTAGGCTAACACTTTATCTGAACATGTACCTGAGGCAGCCGACCTGCAGACAGTGAGTCTCCTAAGTAGAGGGTAACAGCAGTAACAGCGCCAGGTCACCATCGGTCAGGCATCCCTCCTCCTCTTTCAGCTCTCACCAGCGTGTGAAAGCCGGGCCAATATTAATCCTTGTTCGAGCTCTTGTTTTATTGCTCTCCCGTTTTCTTTTCTTGTCTCCTAACCCTGGGACGACACCTTCACCTTCTTCCTTTTCCTTGTCGCTTCAGCCATGACAACCACGTCTAACTTCATTCACCTCGATTCGGCTACGCTACTCTAAAGAGAGGAGGGGGATATGACGTATTAGCCTGGCTTTGCCAGACCCAATTCGCAAAACGCAAATGAGTCTGGATACGGAGTGTACATTTCCTCTATTCCCGAGGGGCGGTATCAACGGCTGTCACTCAAAGTCCCCTTGGAAAGACAGAAAACCAATCAAAGTAAACGAAATGTGTGACGTAGGCTAGCACAACGCCACTGTAAACAGACCAGCAAGCTGCAGCAGAGATGAGCTGTGATGATGTCTGGCAAAGAGTGTTGCCGTCATTGCGGATTTCCTCTTCACTGTGGACTCCAAGTTGCATTGCTGTGATTCCCAGCTTGGTCGCTTCCCTGACCTGCTCCTCCATGAGAGCAACTAGTGGAGAAACAACAATAGCCGCTGGGTTTTCACTCAGTCCCATCTTTTTCCCTATCAACGGAGCCAGTTGGTAAACTAAACTTTTACCAAACCCCGTATGAAGGACAGCAAACACATCCTTTTTTTTCAATAAAAGCTTTCGGTGCAGCCGTTTGTTCTGCTTTTAAAGAAAATGAACATTCCAGTTTGTTCAACACATTTACCATCGCCGTTTCAAAATCAGTAGCCATGATGGTTGTTTACGAAATGCATTCACTCCACTCCTTGTCCCTCCTATTCTGATGACGTGCCTGCCCCAAAGTAATAAATGGTTGTGACTGGCCTGGTAAGCTTTAACCGATGCCAGAATGCGCCTTAATGATTGCATGGCCAGACTGATCTGCGGAGCGAAACAGAATATGAGCTCGCGAGATTAGGATGGTTTCACTAGGCTAATGACGTATGCCATAAAGCAGCCAAATTTTGTAGTCCTTTTTGTGTCCGAGTTCCTAACCGAAACCTGAAAGTGCATAGTGCCACTGCAAGCAAAACAGACACTCTCAAGCAATGACGGCGGTGTCATCCAACCTACTGTGACTCGATGTACAATCACAAAGATCTTGGATATATATTTTGAGTACTCAAAAACTCCATTGTGTTGCTTTAAGTCTAGTCTTAAATGTGGAGACGGTATCTGCCTCCTGGTCCTCAACAGGAAGATGATTCCACAGGAGAGGAGCCTGATAGCTGAAGGCTCTGGCTCCTGATCTACTTTTGGACTTAGACTTTAGGGACCACGAGTAACCCTGCATTCTCAGAGCGCAGTGTTCTGGTGGGATAATATGGCACTATGAACTCTCTAAGATATGATGGAGGCTGACCATATAGAGCTTTTTGATTTAGGAGAAGGATTTTAAATCCAATTCTGGATTTTACAGGGAGCCAGTGCAGAGAAGCTAAAACAGGAGAAATGTGATCTTGTTTCTTAGTTCCCGTCAGTACACATGCCGCCACGATCTGGATTAGCTGGGGAGTTTTCAAAGACTTATTATAGCTACCTGATAATAGGGAGTTACAGTATCCAACAGTATCTCTGACTTTCAGGACAAAGTCAGGGACTTGGAGGAGGACTTCAAAACAAGTGAAAGTGCCATTAATAGAGAAGGGAGGCTCAGAGGATAAGTGGACCAATAGTTTGAGGCCTTGGAGGAAATCATAAATAAATTCATTAATCATTGTTATGCCCCTATCTAGGGGAATAGGAGCGCAACATTACAGTGCATAAGGCTGTTCCCTCCCAAGTATCCAAACCAGACAGCTCACTGCAGGAATTACAGTTCAAAGTTAAGGTATTTATTGTTGTGAGAAAATTAACTTAGTTTAACAATAATGTGAAGCAAAAATAACTCAGGGTGGGCCAAGGCCAAAACAACAAACAAAACGACTATCTAAACCTCAAACATACTAACTACACCTATGTGAGAAAAAACAAACAAAAATACATTCACTAAACCTGTCTCCCAAGGATACATCAGAAAACATGACAAAAGTATACAAAATAAAATGGTAGCCCACCCCTACAACTTCAAAGCTAAGTTAAAAAAAAATAAATGTAAACTAGTGCAACAAACTATAATATATAATACATCATAGTGAGTGATAATATAATAGTATCACTCACCATGATGGCCCACAGGAGGCACCATCAGACACTACAGAAAAACAAATCCCTAGATTTAACAAATACACAATACAGGAAGTGTGGAGGCTGAGGACAGTAATATTGCTGCTGTCAGTCGACTGTCAACTGGCCTGCTGTGACGCCAATCAGTGGGAGACATCTGTGGTTAAGATACAAAGATCCTCACGCAGAAAGGAGAACTCACTCTCACAGTCAAACACGGGAAAGACACATCAAAATATGGCCAGAGTCGTAACAATCCGTTGGAACAGGCAGTTGTGGATTGTATGCATAGGTGGCACAAGAAATGGAAAAGGGACCACGATAAAAATTAAAGTTGCCAGCACACCCAAAACAGTGTGTACTGTCCTGCTGAGGTCACTGGGTGTTAGTGATATCCCCAGTTGGGCTTCAACTGTCTCTATTCAGCTTATGCTAAAACCCCAGTCTGCATTATGTTTCTAACTTTTTGAGAGGACAGAGATGCAACAGAGGTCCCTGTATGTACGGGGACAGTTCTCTCTCCACTCAGAGAACCTGGGTTACCCTGTTACCTTCCAATATATACTGAGATTTGACACTGACACAGGTGGACTTGATTCAATTAATTATGTGACTTCTCAAGGTAATTGGTAGCACCAGAGGGGTATTCCAGGTAGGAGGTTCAACAAACTCTGAGTCTAACCCTGAACTCTGAGTTGATTTACCCTGAGATGGGAAACTCTGAGTTACCGGTTCCAGAACAGCTGATTTGAGTTAGTTCAGTCAACTCTGAGTATGTTCACTCTGAGTTAAGCCAACAATAAAAAGCCATCATCAATGGAGCTCCGACTCCACGATTCACCATGGCAACAGGTAAATAAAAGACAGCGCCTCCATTTTAATCCAGTGGATGTAGAGATATTAGTGCATGTGTGCACGTTTATCTTTAAAAGAAGAGCCTGAGTCAGAGCAAGGAAAGTGTAAATAAGTTAACCATAAAGTTAATAAAAAAGTTTTATTCAGTGTTGTCCGTTTATTCATCATTTATCAGATTTACTTTCCTTAATGAAGATTTAATCTGATGGGGAAAAACACGGGAGGCAGCAACTGAAAAATAGTAAGATTTAAAACATATAGGCTAGGCTATAGATCAAAGACATAAAGACATGACTGTAAACTCACAGTCTGACCCAGTAATAATATGTTTGGTGATTTGCACCTGAAAAGACGTTGAGGTTAAAATACAGTAGATTTTAAAATGTTGGACATCTATTTGTATCTTGACTCAACAGCATTCAGTGACTTTATTTCAGCTACAAATGTAGTAAATTTAAAGACACTGAAATGCTGCACCATTGCTCACTCAGAAATATTAACATATAATCCCCAATATTAGGCTACAGACATTATGTTCCATCAGTGCGGCAAATGACATCAGTGATAGAGATCATTAGTCATTGATACTACGTGTCTAAAGCTTCATACCGATTTTTAAAATTTAAATAATTAGACCTACACATAATGTGCAATAAACATTTCGGAGCTGCTCTAACAGACTGATAGTCTGATCCTTGTGCACAGTGTTATAAAAAATAATTAATATAAAAAGGACAGAGCCCAGCAAGCAATAGTCGTGATTTAAACATATTGGCTATATTTAGCTCCGATTTAGTCTAGCTACATGTAACCCAAATCTAGCCGATTTAATTTGGAAATTGATTAAATGTAATTTTCACCATTGCAGATGGCGTGCGGTATGATATTCAATCACGTATGGAGAGTCAACAGTAATTAAAATATGTTTATCTCCATTTTTTGGACATGGTCTCTACATAGCCATATAATTGATGACATCTACACTTTGGCTATGGTTAGACGTCTACTAAATTTTCACTGACAGCCCAAATTCAGCCGTGATTTAGCCTAGATGACAGGTCTTTATGTACCTAGACGGCTATTAGACGTTTTTTAAACCAAAAAATGCTTGCTGGGAGGTTTGATTCTGAGCTGAGGGTGAATTCTCGCTGTGTAATATTTGAATGTAAAGACAAAAACCGATGTCCAAAGAAATGACTGATGTGCATAAATTCAGTAACTTAAGACAGTCCTGAGTAACAAACTAATATCCAGCAGGATTTAGACTGTGACAGACGGTAAATCTCCGCTAATGAATGCGCTTCGATACAAGCTTTGACACGGACTGAATGAATGAGGAAATGAAACAGCGTGTAAGAGGGAGGAGACAGAGAAAAACTCAGGGTTTATTGAAGAAAACCTGTCAGTGAGCAGGTTATGTTCACAGAGTCTGTTACCATGGTGACTGACTCAGAGTTTCAGTTACCTCTCTTTCTGGAACGGATAACTCAGAATTTCCCTCATCTCAGGGTTAACCTACTCTGGGTTTTCACATAAGCCGCTTTCTGGAATACCCCTCAGGTCTTTTTTAGGAGCTTCATAGCAAAGGGGGTGAATACATACACACACACGCCACTTTTTACGTATTTTTGTTTGTTTTGTTTTTGAAAATTTTTAAAAAGTTTTTTTTTTTTTTTTTAAATTTCACTTCAACTACTTTGTGTAGGTCCATTCCAAAAAGTCCATATCAGAATCTTTTCAATTACAGGTTGTAACACAACAAAATAGGAAAAAAAGGAGGGGGTGAATACTGTTGGGCACTGTAGCACCATTTTTCATTTGCATTTTCTCACCATTTGCATCTTTCTACAGCATGGTTTTATGAAAATCCTTTCAGCAGTAAAACACTTCTTTAACTAAAACAAACAAATAAAAAATAAAACAAGGTGTGAATAAAAACATTAAAGTTAACTGAAAAATAAAAATTAAACTTTATTTAAAGCAGAAAACTAACTGAAACAATATTGCATACTTAACAACAAACAAAAATGAAATAAAAAGGAAATTGGTTTTGTTTTAGTCTTTGTCAATTTGCTAAAAAATTTTTTTTACATATGACCGGGATGTCAACATGACTGAGTCAGTTGCCTCCACAAAATATTTTGTTTGTACTGCAAAACTTAGGCCTAAATCACACAGAAAGTATTTTGCAGGTTGCGCAAGGCAAATTGCACCGCCTTTTTTAAAGAATTGAATGTCACAAGTAAAAAACACTTGCTGTGCCTTTTTATCATTGCCAGGCAGCCATGCCATCACCTCTTTAACCTAATGTATATTCAATCTATCATTTATTTTGGCTAGCTAAAACTACCTAATTATTTTCACAGTAGTTAGTAGCTAGTTCCTAAAATGGACAGGCAGAGGGTACTTGTTTTTCGCTCTGAGTTGAAGTTTTTTCAACTCAAGGAGTTTAGAGTGGTCCGGCAAAAACACTAGGCACCTAGAGCACAGAAATGCAAGGCACATAGCAATGCAAAAACAGTGAGCAAAAAGCTTCTTTATCATTAAAATCAATTACAAAAAGCAGCATCCAGCTGCTTAAACACTTTCTGTGTGATCAGGGCCCCATTCTGCACTTCTTAAAGGAGAACTACACCCATTTTCAAACTTCATACATGTTTTTCCTATGGTCTAAGACAGTCAAAAAATGTTGGAAAACATGATCAACTACTCAACCAAAGTCAAAAACTGGAGTGATAAAAGTCAAATTTGAGATGTCATCAAAACTATGATATCTCTGGTCCACAGCAGTACATTGCATAGCTTTTCCAAACTTGAGTGGGCTGACTGTCATCTCCTGTAGGTGATGCAGTAACTATAGATGAGCACCTTATACAACCCTAATTTTAAAAAATCCCCTTCATGTTATTATAACACCTGTGCTTTTCTGACAAGTCAAAATGTCTGCTGTTCCTAATTATATAGTTGTAAATTATATATTCTAAATTTGAAAATATCCTCTGTCACCTTGGGCTTTAGGAAATCGTGATGATCTTTCATAAACTTAATCAAAAACAAATAATCATCAGCTTTATCAAATGAAAAAAATGACAATTATGGTGGCAGCCCTAATTTTACTGTCCTCAAAAATGTTAGTTTCAACATTTTTAGTAAGCTCCAGACAGTTTCGCAAACTAGGTGTGCTTATCACTTTTTGATGAGCACCTTTATTTTGTAAACCAACAGTGAATTTCTACTCAACTAAAAAGTACTGATGTGATGCCACAGCTTGGTCTTAAGTCTCTAAGCATTGCTGTCCAGCTAATATCTCATAAGAAAGAATGATTGGTGGCAGCATGGTTTAATGATTGTATTTGGTGTAGAAGTCTTACAGTTTTTTCCCTTATACTAATGAATAATTCTTAATATCTTCCTCTTTTGAACTTGCATTTGAATCTTCAAGGGAAATCACTGTGTTAAGAAAGCCATGCTACGCCTTAGATGCAGAAAAGGCATTTGACCATATTGAATGGAAATTCATGCTGTCTTCTCTACACCGCTTTGGATTTGGCGACTCGTTCATAAATTGGATTAAGATCATCTATACCCAACCTCAGGCTTCCATTATTACCAATGGGGAGATATTACAGCCATTTTACCTACACAGAGGCGTCCGACAAGGTTGCTTGTGCTCTCCGCATTTATTTAATCTATGCATCGAAGTCTTGGCCAGTGAGATCAGAACAAACCCTGATTCTAACCTATTCAAATACATGAAACGAAACATCATCTGTCACTTTTTGCAGATGACATAACTTTGTTCATGTCTCGCCCCAAAATGTCTCTCCCTCCTCTTCTGTGTTTAATTGAAACTTTTAGAGGTTTTTCAGGGTACTCTATTAACTGGGATAAGAGTGAATTACTTCCATTATCAGATAATGTAGACTGTAGAGTTTCTAAGTACAATGCCATTCAGAATTGTAAATAACCAAATTATGAGTCTGGGTATTATTGCTACCTGAAAATATGGTGATCTCCTAAAGTCCAATTGGGAAAAAAAAGACCTAACAATTGAAAAGAAATATTGAATATTGGAATACACTGCCAATCTCTTTAGTCGGTCGCATCAATGCCCTAAAAATGGTTTCGCTCCCCAGATTCTTGTACATCTTTCAGTGCTTACCTGTCCATATACCATTATATTACTTTAACTAGCCAGATTATTCTAAGTACGTTACGAATATGGAAGCAAATTCAGTCCTTTCTGAATTTAATCCACAGTATACATACTAGATAGCCCTATCTGCAAAAACCATGCTTTTCCTCCAGGTTTGGTTGATCCAATTTCTGGAAAGACAAAAATATTGCCACAGTTGGAGATTTATGGCTACCAATGGCTAAGGGAACTTGGCAATGTGATTCATATGGAAAGCCTTCGATATAAACTTGCCAACAAGGAAAAAATCTTCCTGATAATCTGGAAACCATTTCTCGACAAATGGTCTGCAACCAAGCAGAAGTGAATTGACTCATAACCTGTGTGCTTGACGTTAGGTGACTAGGGCCTATCCATGGTGCATCACATCCTCATTTTTGTAAGACTGCAGTTGCCAAAGTGTGTATGTGTGTGTGTGGTTTTTTGTTTGTTTTTGTTTTGTTTTGTTTTGTTTTGTTTTGTTTTGTTTTTTGTATTTATGGTTTGTCACTTTATTGTTCTCTATATTTGTCTCCACTGGACATTACTTAATGTTGCCTTTGTGTGGCATTTAGATTGCTGCCTCTGGAATATGCACATTATCTGTCCTCAAAAACTCAATAAAGAGACTTAAAAAAAAAAAGGTCATGCTAGACATATACAATGCACCACATCCTGAAACATCACAGTAGAAATGTACAATTATTGCAGTGAACAAATGCTACTACAGTCACAGTGGAACACCATCAAGATAAATTACATAAACAATAAACACACCTCATTACAGCACTTCATCATGCAAGCACTGATCACACAATGGCAATAATCAACATTGCCTCCAACAGCTTGTCTATATGTGGTTTTATAAATGCGTGTGATTCCAAACACTACAGAAACATCATTCATTTCCTTTATCCTGGCCAGCACTCTTCCTCCTTCCTATTGGTCAGTAGTGTTTGGTTGTCATTGTTATGTGAAATGGGGGTGTTGTGGGGGGCGGTGTTGGTACATAAAATGCTGTCTGGAAGAAGTACATCTGAAAGAAAAGAGAAAAAAGATTAACTATTCTGTCAAGGTTAAAGTGTACAACTGATAAGAGACCCCATTCATCTGGCTCACTAACCTTACAGCCAACAGCCAGCAGCGTGTGCAAAACCACTATGGTCACAACTGTTGCCACTGCCATCACCTTTGTGTCATCACAGACAACAGGCCAGAAGGTGAGGACCAGTACGGAGCCAGAGATCACCATGGCAACCAGGATCAGTGTCCAGCGCAACCACTCAAATGGAATGATCCACAATACCTGGAGGTGAAAAGGTTACATGTTGGTTACTGACATCTCAGGGTGCTGTCAGACCCAACATATTTAGTTTATTTCAGTCAAACTCGGTTGCAGATTAAAGGGATAGTGCACCCGAAAATGAAAATTCAGCCATTATCTACTCACCCATATGCCGACGGAGGCCCTGGTGAAGTTTTAGAGTCCTCACATCTCTTGCGGAGATCGGCGGGTGGAGCGGCTAGCACACCTAATGGTAGACGGCGCCCCAGACTAACGTCCAAGAACACAAAATTGAATCCACAGAGTATCTCCATACTGCTCATCCGTAGTGATCCAAGTGTGCTGCAGCCCCAACATAAAAAGTTGTTTCGAAAAACGTCATATTAACTCTGTTTTTAGCCTCACTGTAGCCTGTAGCTTTGACTGCTTCTCTGTGCTTCGCGTTCACGTGTGTGCGTCTGCGCGAGACCAGCGAAAGCATGAGCTTTGCTCACCCGTGTTTACATCACATGACACGTGCACCGCAGGGAGAGACAACGTAACCACAGAGCTAAAAGATAATTTGCACTATGGTCTTTTAGCAAAGGACAGCCCAACATGTCTGAAGACTTTGAAATTGAGGAGGAACAGCATTTCTTTGTTGAGCCGTATTTCTTTGAGCCTGAGTATACGGACAGAACTCAGGCTAGTGGATGAAGCAGCCGCCGCAGCACATGAGCCTCAGCCAGCTGCAGAATACCGGAGTTGAGCACTGGAAACCTGGTGGTGTAGTTGTTTCAAATGCAAAGCAATGCCATCGGATGAGGAAAGTCTTTGCTGCTCAGACTGGGAATTGGCGATGCCTGCACTTGAGAATCTGGACATCAGTACTGACGAGAGTGTTGCTCTTCAGAGACCGTGCATCACCGATCACCCTGAGCGTGCACACGTGAACACGGAGCACAGAGAAGCAGTCAGAGCTACAGGCTACAGTGAGGCTAAAAACAGAGTTCATATGACGTTTTTCTAAACAACTTTTTATGTTGCTGCTGCAGCACACTTGGATCACTACGGATGAGCAGTATGGCGGTACTCTGTGGATTCAATTTTGTGTTCTTGGACGTTAGTCTGGGGCGCCGTCTGCCATTATGTTTGCTAGCCGCTCCACCTGCTGATCTCCGCAAGGGATTTGAGGACTCTAAAACTTCACCAGGGCCTCCGTTGGCATATGGGTGAGTAGATAATGACTGAATTTTCATTTTTGGGTGCACTATCCCTTTAAACAACTGGACCAAGTCTGCCTTTACAGAAGGGTCTCAGTCAGCTTACAATCCAACTGTGGTGTAGTATGAAAGAAACGGACCAGTCTGATTTTAGTATGAATTCCGAAGTTTAACTACAAATTCACCTGCTGACTGCTAACTGTGAAGACCTTGACATGGACTGTAGGAGCAATGTATAGCGAAATGCATAGCCTATGGATGATTCATTGGTAACATGGGGGCATTTCCATGAATGCATTATAAGAACTACATACTGGACTCAAACATAGTCACTTAAATGACATCACCAAAACTATCCAATCACTGAGTTGTCTGTCGGTCCACATGACTACATGTTTACAGCTCTATTCATTTAAGTCTGTGTAAACATGAGCCCTAGCACAACTAAATTATTTTCCTTGGTTTGGATCAAATGATCTAAACTATAGGTATGAGAATGTCCTAAAGCCCCTTTCTCACTGGACAAAGACACCCACTACCATCTGGCTTTTGTCTTTAGTGGCAAAGGTAACAATCAGCATTCATTCCTGGGACAAATGACTGTGCAGAGGTATTTATTTACAGGTATTTATCTGCTTCAGCTTCTGATCAGTAGTGATGGAAATATGACACCTGGGTGGACACACTAATTTTTTCCCACTTTGCCGTGTGATTCAATGACATGCCACCACAAATTCCATCCGTCTCCGTCCAAGTACGTATGAATATTGCTCCAAAGACAGACTGAATGAGTTATAGATACAAACTAGAATTACCACCTTCTGTGAACCAGTCAATTGCAGTTAGTTTATAACCATGTCTGTCCAGACTCATATTTTGCCATGACAGTAGACAGTGCTTCAAATATGGATGTTGTTGCAAGGAAGCTACATATTCTAAAACAAGGGTGCCTCACATACATATTTACCCCGGCAGCACGGAGGATCTATACAATCAGCACAGTTTCGATGTGAACACCCAAGATTAGTGTCACCAATTAATTATCTGACCAAATGTCTCCTCCTTTGTTCCTGAGATATGGTGTTAAATAATGGCTAGAACTAAAACACTTTTTTTGCAGTGTAGGTTGGCTGAGCTAACATGCTCAATTATAGCGACACCCTACTTCATTCTTTGTTGTACATTGTAACTACATTTGATTGGCTGATTGCCCAATACTGTGTGTTTTAGAAAATAAAGGGCTTAACATGGCTTTGATATTTGTTAGGAGTTCAAACCCGAAGGGCTGAGACCCTATTATTTTTTTTTTTTTTTTTTTAATCTTTTTTTTATTTTTTTAAATCAGAAATGTTTTCACTAATTCCCATGAGATGATACATTGTAGACACATGACATTTCCACCAATGATTGGAAGTTGTGTACAAGTGCTGCTTAAGAAATATGACACCGATTGTCCAAATGTGCGTGCTGTGATCACGGCCCCTCACACCGCAGGTCTGATTGACTTGAAATTTGACACACAAGTGCAGCTCAATGTGGTCTATGAAAGATACACAAGAACCATTAAGGTCACAGTGGTAAAATGTTCTGCCATTTTGAATATTTTGAAAAACACATTTTTGACATCTGTATCTAAAACATAGGTCAAAATTGAACCAAACTTTCTGTGGATCTTCATTGGTCCAACCTCTCAAGTTATCAAAAGCTTGTTGATATCTCATTGCGCTTTAAAGATATTGACCAATAAACTTTAGAGGGGGCATGGCTCAGCACATAAATAGACCTAACTTCATAACCGTTGAGCCAATCATCATGAAACTTGTAGGAATTGTCTAAAGAGGTATCAGTAACAGCAAGGAGGGCGCGCAATACTTCTCGTATCTGTCAGGTTTGCATTTCCCTCTTGCTACTAGCTGCTCATTCCTGCTATCAGCTGTTTCCTGTTTATCCACCGCCAGTGGGTCACACGTGCGGCGTCATCAACATCTCCTCCCATGGCGGAAGGGTGCCTCATTCTTTTTAAACCAAAAAGGTTCCGCCAATATGTCTACCTACGAGGCGGAAAATTGAGCACCTCAGATCAGCTTGCCAATCCGGCTTGACTGTCATGACATGTAAGCTTCATTAAAAGTATAGCTGCAAATTAAAAGCAACAATAGATGTAAAATCACACAGACACAATGCATCTGAACATTCTTTACATGGTTCTATTTCTAAACTATCTTGCAACTCAGCACTTACATGGTCAAATGGGCCAATAGACGTACTTGGTATTCATATTCCAAAACAGATGGATGAACTTGTTAAAACTAATTTTGAACACAAGCTTAAAAAAATGGAGACAACAGTATCCTTGTTTGGTAAAGTCACCCTTGTCAATTCATTGTGTACTTCTCAGTATACTTACCTGTTGATGTCTCTTTCATCTCCTGATGAAGATTTTTATAAAAGGTATAATCAAGTTGTATTTGATTTTATATGGAAAAAAAATAAGCATAAATATTTGTATAACTGTCTGGATGAAGGAGGTGTTAAGTTAAATAACCTTAAAGTATTAAACCTGCTGTTAAAAGCATCATGGTCAAAGACAATATATTGGAATCCTTGAGTGGAGCTCCTCACAACTAATTTGTGAGATTCATCCAATATTTAAATACAAACTTTTTCCATTTGTTTTGGGAACAATTTGTTCAAAAGGGCATTATTTTTTTATAAATGATATAACAGATGTGAATGGTAATATCTATTCATATGAAATATTTTGTGAAACATTTGGAGTATTCTGTTCAGAATGCTAATATTATCAATTAGTAGCTGCAGTGCCTTTGGCTTGGAGAAAAAAAGTGAGAAATGCTGGAAGGAAACTGTTGGTGTGAAAACCTGCCATTATAAACTGTCATTGGCTTGAAAGAAAAAAGGTCAATGCTTTAATGTACATTTTTTTAGGGAATATGATTTAAATGACAAGGCAGAAGAGTTTCAGTTGTACTGGAAGGAAATATTTGATATAATTGCCATGGAGACAGGTATGTGATGTAATTTATAAAGCTGTTATAGATTCCAAGTCACAATATTTTATCATACAAAATACTGCCAACAAGAAAAATGCTCTTTGGTTGGGGTATGGAAGGGAACAGAAACTGTCGTTTCTGTAAATCTGAAATTGAAGATATGTTGCATTTATTTTGGTTCTATCCTCATGCGACAACTTTTTGGACAACTATGAAAAGATGGCTTGCATCAAGTTTGACATTTTTAACCATGTATCCTCAAACAATAATGCTTGGTGAATTAAGAAATTGTTGTCCTAGCAATTTAAATACTATTATATTACTAGGAAAATGATTCATTTTTGAATAGAAAGGAAAAACGTGATTGACATTGCCCTGTTTTCTTTTCAAAACATTTTTTATGTTAGAAGGCATTATTGCTACAAGGCAGGTATGGAGCTTTTTCCCTATCTTTGTTCAAGAGAGTGGTATATCAGTTTGAGAGCATTAGTTATTGATTTCACGTTCAGATTTTGTAATATTGTCCCTCAAAACCCTGCCTTCGCACTCAGATAGCCTCTGCTTGGGCTTAGATCGACTCTGTTTCTGCTCAGACTGTGTGCTCGCATTCAGATACCATGTTGCTCGCACTCAGATACCATGTTGCTCACACTCAGATACCATGTTGCTTGCTCTCAGATACCATGTTGCTTGCACAGATTTCCTGCTCGAGCTTTGGCTTTTCTCCTCACGCTCAAACTGCTTCTGTGCGCTTGCCGAATTTCTGCTCTCAGATTTCTGCCCTGCGCTTGGATTTTTTTGTGTAACA